GCTTCAAGAGGTATATACATGGAAGAATCATATTGTGTTGAGCTATAAAATAAGTCCACTTATTCTTGCAAAGAGTACATGAATTATCTTTATAAGGAGATATGAGGTTAAGGATGTTTTCTCTGTAAATGAATAATGTTAAGTATCTAAGAAACATCCATTCCAAGGGGAAAAGTTCTAGACTATTGCACTGTGGCTGGTGCCCTCATGTGGCTTCAAAGTTTCGCTACATTTAAGAGTTTTAAAACACATTTCTGAGTTACGAACTATAAACCATGGCAGATAAGGCCAAGCAAGACACATGGCAAAAGGAAACTGCACAAGGAAATGTGATAATTTGCCATTACCTAAAACTTTGGTTGAATGGCGAGGGATAACAACATGGCGGACAGGGTGTCTGGTCAACTAGTTGGGAACAATCAGATGTCCAATTCATCCAGGATATTGTTTGTGGTGGTTTTGGTTACAGTGTTAACAAATCACAGAAGTCATTTTCATTTTAAGTTTTATTTTTATCAAAACAAAATAATTTAACCATATAAATAAATAAATTTCAACAAACAACCAAGAAGCCAATCTCTTCTCCGATTATGGACAACCAATAGAGCAGTAAGTCCTGAAGAGTTGGCTGCATATATAAGATATTGAGTCATCCTCTAGGGCTCCAAGTGGCAAAGGCTTTTCTTCCAATGGTGAAGCAACGTGCTCAAATGTTCCTATACTCACTGAGACCAAATTATGTGTATTCCCATATAAGTTCAAAGCCTGGGTTGAAAAGAATCTTACAGGGTAGGTACCCAACACATAAGATCTTCCAGGTCCTGACACCTACATTTAATAAGTTCTGAAAGATAAGGGCAGAGATTGTGCTTAGGTATCGAGAAATGTAGTGTTTCAAAGGCCAGAGTGTCTCCCTCACATGAACTACGGGAATAAACTGAAGTGAAAAGAAACACACAAGCCATGTTTGCTGCAATCATAGAAATACGGTCATCCACTGAACCAGCAGGTCATTTTCTCCTCACCACATTAAATTATGTCTGTGGAGCTGAGTAGCAGCACATTCCAATAATGACGACAGTCTCCATAACTATAAAAATCTGCTGCACTGGGCAAATTTTGTGCAAAATGCAAATTTCTATGCTGGGGGAAAAAATGAATAATGTGATCATTCTAAGTTATGAATGTAAATGCAAGGAAATACTTTTCGGCATGAGACTGCAAATCGATTATCTTTCATGCCAAGGACTGTGGTCACAATGCACTTTTGCAAGACTTCTCTTTTGAGCTCAGCTTTAGAATAGGGATTTTAGAAAGGGAAAGTGTAATTTACCCTAGGTTACCCTTCATGCTATTGGCAGTGTTTTGACTAGAATTCAAAGACATCATCCTCCCTCCTTTTTAAAATTTCTTGGTGAAGAAACCGTAGATTCTCCCAGTTACTGTGAGGTGTGAACCAAAGGGCTACTAGCTTCGTCTAGAATCTCAAAGGTTAGACCTAACAGGAGGGGTGAGCTGTTTTTCATTACAGCTTACAACAGAAGGATTCAGCTTGTCCATCAAAAATCACATGACTTTAAGAGTCATTTAACAGTAAAGGGGAGGTGAAACCTCTCTCCTCCATACATCTCTAACAAGCGAGTTCTGGCCAGGTGCAGGTACATTTGGAAAGATGACCCTGGGGCTGGCCGTGAGTATCATGGGTTATGGCACTTGTATGCTTTGCCCTGAGACAATGGCAAAGAATTCAAAGCGCCCTTTTTCCTTAGCCCATGTCAGCGTCCCTGGAGCTGTTCTCTGTGAGAGAAGCTGAGGCGCCAGTTGGTTAAGACCCTTACCTGAAGATATAATAAAATCAACAGCGATGGGGAAAGGGAGAAATCCCTTGTCTTTAAACTCTTGTTTGCCTTGTTCTAAAATAAACTTGTTTTTCCTTAATCATTATGCAGTACACACTTGCCAATTATAAAACTGCAGCAATTATCATTTGATAATGCTGAAATTTTATTTTCAATAACCTATACTGGGTTATAGATTGCTGATGTCACCCTTAAAATGTACTCCTATAATTGTATTTGACTTTAGGAAAACCCACAGGAAAATTAACATTTATAAAATCAGAGATTACTCATTGCTTTAAAATGATTCCTCATTTAAAAAAAAAATCTTTACCTTAGGATGATTTTCAGTAGCCCCTAGAGTCATTCAAAATACATTTTTTAGGGCCAGCTCCGTGGCTCACTTGGGCGAGTGTGGCACTGGTATCGCTGAGGCCACGGGTTCAGATCCTATATAGGGATGGCCGGTGCGCTCACTGGCTGAGAGTGGTGCAGACAACACCATGCCAAGGGTTATGATCCCCTTACCAGTCAGGAAAAAAAAATACATTTTTTATTTTAAAAAATCCATTGAAATACAGCTTTTCTCAAATTCACATTGATATAAAGTAAGGTACACTTGAAAACATTGCCACCCACTAGCTAAATGACCAGCTGAGGCAGGATGATTTGGCAACCTGCTCACTTTTGTAAGAGAAAGGATGGTTAGAGATGTGTAGTCAGTGCCACATTCGATTTAGGTTGGTATGTGGCAGCCAGCAGCAGTGGCACATAGAAGGACAAAGCTTCCACCACAATCCTGAGGCCGGTGCAATATGGAACTATGATTTATTGATTTAGATCAAGTGATCCAGTTGACACCTCAGCAGCCACCAGGAAAGAAAAGATCTGGAAGATGGTTTTCTCCCCTGCCCATTGTCTCCTAGGACAAAGCAGCCCATTTTGGCCTACAGATATGTTTTCTTCCACTCACAAAGTACTGTTCCATTTTTCCTTTCGATTTTTGAATTATAAGCCAACATTTATAAATGTGGTAACTGCACTCCAAAACCTGAAATTCTGGGAAAAAGTGAGATGAGGCTTCCCCAAGCTCACATTCTTTGTAGAAGTAATTGATGGAAGGTACTTGTGCTTTAGTCCTCACCGTCCCCACCCAAACTTCTTACATGCAGTATCCCTGGGTGATGGCTTCCCATGGGGAACATCTCCAAGGCACAGAGTGCACGTATGTAAAGGAGAGGGCTCTCACAAGGATTGGAACCTGGAGACACGTTCAGCTCATCTCATCCAACTGTCTCGTGCTCATTTAGGGAAACTGAGGTGCAGAAACGGTCTCAACGAAGATTTCCTAGCTCATTAAAGACAAACTCAGGACTTCAATCTCTCTCCCTCCTGGGCTCAGACCACCGTCCTCCCCTGAGTCTCTACAGTGGCAAGGATCATTCAAAAGGGCAGATAATTATCACACAAAATACGTTTGGTTTTAAAAGTACACTAAGTAAATGTCTAATATACTTTTTATTTCTCTTCTGCTTTTCTTGGCTGGGCTTGTCACCACTTGGATATTTATGAGTGCATATGAAGTGACCACAGACACGTGCTAAGTAACCAGGGGAAGCTGGTCTCACACTGAAGTTTTCTATGAATAACACCAAAATTGGAAAATTCACATGAAGATACTTGAAATTTGGCCATACTTAATCTCAGGCAAGGACTTACTAAAGTGTGTTCACATGTGTGAGATGCTTTGCATTGCTGCCTTGCCTTTGAAGTAAAAGATGTCATATGAACATCATTACATCAAAGTTAAGCCCAAAGAGCTCGGCTATAAACTTCAAATTGTACAAAATCATACCAAAAGTAAGTATAAAATTTTATTAAAATACAGCAGTGTAAATCTCTTTAAGTTTTTCCCCTCCCGTTTAAGGAGAAGGAGAGGGAGGCAGTAAATCGGAGGCTTGCTCACTGATTTGGCTGACGTAGATCTGCTATGTTCTCCTGCACAGAAGTGCACTGGCTTGCAATACTGGGGAATTTTATCTGTGCTGTTCTGACTTGCACAATACAGAGGCTGATTTAATTTGACAGCAAAGTAACACCAAGCCCCCAAAATAAAATTACTGAGATGTAAAACAGCGTCAAAACTCCAATTAGTTTTGTATCCTTGAAGCTTCTGGAGGAAATCTAAAAGGTTCCCGTCACGATGAGCAGGCATCAATTTAACCTGTACAGATTACTAAAATGTAACCCTCTAATTGAAATTGCTCAGAGCACAATATGACAGAAAGAATCAGAGGAAAATAAGTGAATTATTCCCCCTCAAAAAATGACTCATTACAGAGAGACTGTTCTATTAACTTTTAACACAGCGTTCCTTTGCAAGAGCTAGAAAAATCAACAGTCTCAGAGACCTCAACAGAAAAGGCACCAGGCACAAGAGCAGTATGTACGTGTGTCATTTGACCATAGGTAAGCATTGACCATTTGTGCAACATTTAACAATAATCAGCATTTCATCAGATCATAGGCATTTTAAAGTATATTTACAACTTCCACTAAGGAGGCAAATCACTGCAACCAAACTTCAGTTTTTGAATGAATCTGAATTTTGTCTCCAGAATGAACAGATGCCCACTTCACGCCCCACCTCTTTTTCAAACTATACACATTTATTCCATGCATGCTAACCGCCTTTGAAGCAAACCCTCAGTTTGCTGATGGAGGAAGTCAGTTGCCTTGACTCTGTGGGGTCCACTTTCTCGTAAACGTGTTGGTTAATGCCATTTTAAGCTGTAAGCTGTAAGCTGTCTTGGTTAATGCCATTTTATCAGAGTGAGGCAGTGGGGACTGATGCAGAGGGTAGGCTAGAGTCAAGGTAGAGTTGCTGTGTCTGTTGAGCATTCTTAGACTTTGCTTCATTGCTACCCTGCTCTACCTGGCACCACCTGAACAGGAGCAGGGAATGCCCAAGGGGAGCTGGAAAAGAGTGCTGTGAGTTGAGGGCTTAGAGTTGGTTGGAGTTGGCTTGGAAAGAACCCAAAATGGCTTTCCTATCCTGTAGGTGTTTCATAAATAGAGCTCAGTTCTTCTGCCAGTTTGATGACATTTACTCATGAAGCACCATCTGTCTTTGACCGCAGACACCATCTTTCTCTGGAAACTTCATATTTCTATAACCAACCGGTCTTCGTCGTCACTGCTGGTGTCACTGAACTCCACTTGAGTTTGCTTTCTTATTCCTTCCAAACCCTTCTTCTTAATGGATTTAGAAGGGGCTTCGGGGATTTCTGTGGGCTTCTCTGGGTTAGAGGAAACCACACAACCTTTCAGGGTGATTAACCCAGGTACCTGACATTTCCCACTGTCACTTCCTGAAGTGGGGACAGCTATTTCTCCACACCCATATTGGCCCCTGGGAGGAAAAAATGTCTTTTGTCTCCCTTCCTCTTGCTGTGAACTAGGTGAACTTGGTCCTGAAGCAGGTATCTCCAGATGAGTTTTTCCAATTGAGTCTGACAGAGCTGAACCTGAAATTCTTTCAGAGGAAGGTTTCTCTGGCAAGAGCATCTGTGATACTCCCTCTGCTATAGCTTTTCTGTCTGGGGAGTCTGCGTCGAGAGTCTCCCCTGCAGCCCAGCTGTGGTCTTGTGGCTCTGCACTGTGAACTCCCACAGAAATACAAATGGCAGCCGCAGAGGTAGCAACATCATGGCAGGGAAATGTTCCTTTCGATCCAAAGGAAGAAGGCTCTTGAGCATCTGAGAAAATGCATGGTTTGGGATCTGTTGAGACTTGATCCTGTGAGGGTAGCAGCTGAGTCTCCAGCAATCCAATGTCAAGATCTTTGCCATGGGGCAGAAGGTGGTCATTAGCCACTGCCAAGCAGGTGTCAGATTGTAGAGGTAATCCGGACCCAGCAGCAGTGTTGTGAGAACAGTCACCATGCTCACTGGCAGATGGAGAAATATCCTGCAACAAAGTGCAAAGGAAGAAGAAATAGGGGGTAAAAAGGTTAATTGATACAAAGAAAAACGTGATCAGAAACATGGTCCTCAATGAAAACAAGGTCGTGAGGTCTCAATGATTCTTTACTGAGAGTGAACTTCAATGTGATGCCCTCAATAAGTTTCCATTAATAACTAATTGATGCATTAACACGAATAAAGCTCCTTATTGATAGAAAATAGGCTGCTGAGATTGCTATGTGTATCTTTCTGGCTTCGTTAAAAACAAAACGGCTCAGTTATTCAAGGAGCTGAGCTTCCTATTTTAAGTTACTTTAAGTTGTTCACAAAGTGGATGTACTATTCTATTGTATTGTGTATTGAAGTTTTTTCCAAATTAGCATTTTTCAAAGTGTGGTCCAGATTAGTATTTTAGTGCTTTTCAACAAGCAGGCAGGGGATGATTTCATGCTGGTTTTCAACAACCTGTTTGGGAGTGATTTCATGTTGCAGTGATGTCTGAAGTACGGCAGCATCTCTGCTCTATTTAGGTATGAATTAGTACCGTATTTAGGATTTCTAATAAACAGTCAAATCACCCAAATGGTCTTACAACAAAAGTTGCCCTTTCTTTCAGTGCAGAATGGAGGTATTGGTTTGCTTAATGAGTTTTTTGTGCTAGGAAACTTCACTAGGTGATCCAAGAGAATTCTGCCTCACTGGACAAGAAGAAGGGAGAGCTATGAGTCTGGACCACAGATAGGTAGAAACAGCTTAAAATCGAATCCCACCTTCACAGTTAATTTATCATTTTCCCTGACAGTCTTTGAACTTGTGCTAGGAGAGAAGGTTCTTGAAGTTTGTCTGCATTCATCCTCATCCTCCTCTTCATTCCCACAACCAAGAGACGACTCTGAGGTGGCACAGGGCAGCTCTTCTTGCAGATTTAGACCTGAAAGGGGGCAGGCACATTTATATAACATCTGGAATTACAAAATAAAGAGCAATTTCCTAGGAGGTTGTCGAGGTTTTCAAGGCCACCTCTCTCAGCTCATTAACCCTCATCCTACACATCTGTGTGGGCTAGAGCTCGATCTACCTCCAACCAACTCACACCTGGTCAAATAAAATGGAGACTTCTGCTAAAGAAAGAAACAGCAAAATTAATTGTCAAAGTAGAAAAATCCTTACGTTACATAAATTGTAAAAAATATGTCATGTGGCTTTTTTTCCCATCAGAGTCATCTTCCTGGTCATGTTTGCTCAGGTTCATTTTAGATCAGCTTGAATTCTTCAGCCATACAACTAGGTGGCCAGAGTAGACATTTCACCCTAGACCATGTGAGATGGCAACCTGGAGATGGCATATCACAGGGGCTGTTAGATCCTGGGCCAGGGGTAGGGTTGGCTCTTGTGATGCTGCTGTGCTGTTGCAGCAGTTATTGTCGTGATGGTAGGGGGAGGGGAGGGCTTGGAAAATAACCACACACCAGCCTCTCCTGCGTCCCTCGCCCTGACCATTCTCTCATGGTGACCTGGCATACAGGTCCAAAGAACCACAGCATTTCAGAGAGGGTAGATTACATCATGAGACGAGGTCAGAAGAACATTCAAGAACAACTTGTCACTAGGGAAGCAGCATAGACCTACTTTCAATTTGCCTTTGTTTTGATTAAAGTTGCACATGCACAGAGTTTGAAAAAGTCAAATCTTTCTACTTATGCAGGAAAACAGGAACCCCAGCCCATCTATCCATCTTTTCCCATTTTGGATTCTATTGCTATTTATCTGCTCCACTTCTAATAGCATACTCATAATCTCATGCTACTACTTTCTGAATTTCTTATTTTTTCAGTATGGAGTGCAGACTATGGCTTCTCGTGCAGGGAGAAGAGAGTTTAGCTCTTCTTCCAGCTCCTCTCCTCCACAACCTTCACCACCACCCACCCCCCACACACATACACGTGCACACTTCTTGCCCCCCACCCCCTCAGCAGGTATGTAACTCTGGTGTTAGGTGACATTCAGTGTTCACATTATTATGCTCAGGAACATGTAACATGCTATGATTACATTGTCTCTCTTGCCAAAATTGTTTTCCCTGTAGTTAATAATTATTTTTTTTCTTTTGCTTAGTTTTCTGTGGACTTACTACTAAAATCATTCCCAATCTCCTCCTCAACTGTCTAAGGTTTCATTTCATTCCTTTAGAAATCTCTCTCTCTTGAAGCATTCCGACTCACTCCAAATAGACAAGTGCTCTCTAGCACTGATGCAGGGTTGTGCTCCTAGGATCCTCCTTTGACACCCCTGTGGTGACTGTTTTCACTTCTCTCTTGGTAGCCAGACCCCCATGACTTCTTTTTTTTGTGGTTTTACTCTCTTGCTTTACTAACACAAAATGTCCAGTAGCTTCATGAGAAAGGATGCATGAAATAAAACTGTTTCGACTTTAATTAGACAAGCTTGTCTGGGTATGACATTCTGAACTGGAAAGCATTTTCCTTCAGCATTGAGGACGTTGCTCCATTGAATTCTAGTTGTTGAGAAGTCTGGAGCCAATATGATTTATGCTTCACGGTCCTTGGATGAAGGCTTTTTGTTCTTCCCTCTCTGGAAGCCCAGAGGCTCTTCATTGACGTGAGTGTCACTATTGTCCCAGCTCTATTTTCATTCATTGTCTGGCCACTTAACCAGTCCTTTCAATCTGAATCACATTCTTAGGTTTTAGAAATATATGGTTATTTTTTTTCCCCTTTTTTTCTTTTCCTTTATCATGTACAGTGCATTGTTTGAAATAAGTATACATTGTGAAATGGCTAAATTGGGCTAATTACATATGCATTACCTCACATACTTATCTTTTTGTGTGTGTGGTGAGAACACTGAAAATTACTCTCTTCTCAATTTTCAAGAATAAAATACCTTGTTATTAACTACAGTCAATGTGTTATATAATAGAGTTCTGTAATTTATATGTTATTTTCTTCTCTCTTTCTCTCTCTTTTTTGGCAGCTGGCTGGAATAGGGATCTGAACCCTTGACCTTGATATGATCAGCACTGTGCTCTAACCAAGTGAGCCAACCTGTCAGCCCTTATATGTTATTTCTTTATTGTTTTTTTTTCCTTCTATTTTGTCTTTTCTCTTTCTAGAATTGCTCTTATTAGGTTATTGAATCTCTTGGTATCATCCTTTATTTTTCTTATCTTTTCTCTCCTGTTTTTCATTTCTTTGTCTTCTTGTTAATCTTTTGGGAGAATTCCCTCAACTTTATATTCCAATTCATTAGTTTACATTCCTGCTATCATTTTTTTTTTTTTTCAAATTTTTGAGAGTCCTTTCCTATGGTCCTTTTTTGTAGGATCCTGTTCTTACTTCGTAGCTTCAACATCTTCTCTTTATCTCTGGCAATATTGATAACAGTTTGTCACCGTTGTTGTTATTGTTGAAGTTTGCCTCTCCCTATATAATCCGTCTGCCAAGTTCCTCTGCTTCAGTTTGTTTATTTTTATCTCCCTCTTCATGTTAAAGTCTTTCCTGAACTATAGAAAAATTTTAAATATTTGCCCATGTTTACGATACGGGCACTAAGAAACTGATTTGTGATCTTCCCAAGTGCAGTTTGTCAACCATGGGCTTCACTGTAGGGTTATCTGGTTGCCCTGTTTGAGTGAGGAACTGTGAAGTAACTATCTTTAGGTTTCCCACACATACTGGTCAGCTTCTGCAAGAACAGTCCTCCAATCTCCTGCCTAGAAAGTGTAAGCCAGGCTGCTGGCATTCTGGAGTCTAAATTGGGGAAAAGACCTGGGGGGTTCAAGATGCTGTACTAAGCATTTGGTTAATCCCCCTGTTTTCAATGTAGCTGCTGCTGAACTAATTGCACCTGCTGTCCCCAGCATTTTGAATACTCTCCAGAGACTGAACTCCTAGTCTTCTGCAGGGGGGCAGGGGAGGGATGTTACCAAGTTCTGAGAAGTAGGGGTGGGTTGGTGGGGGCCAATCGTTTCTTGGTCTTTCCCAAATAATGCCACTGAAGTGTGTTAAACTAATTTTAATTATTGAGAAGGCTGCTAACTTGCTTTTAAATGAATGGCCCTTTTCAAAAAGTAAGTAGTGTCCTGGTCAGATTGTAAAGCACAGAACACAATTCTGTTTAGGCCTCAGCAACACCCTGTACAAAGCACTTCCTACATCTTCACGAGTTGCAGATTCCGCTGTCTTAATGAGACCTTTGGAAATTCAGCTGCTGTTAACACAACTGTGTGAGGGGGTTACCACTGGTAAGTCAGGTTAAATTCTTTGGGGTCTGCTGAATCAGTTACTGCCCAGCCTCTGCATCCCAGCTCCCACAAGCTCAGCACCATTTCCTCTCCAAATCATTTTCTCCTTGTGGGCTTGTGCATTACACACACATTCATTTACTAACATCTCCTGGGTTTTTAGAGGAGAATGGAGGTAAACATGCATGTTCCATCCTCCATCCCGAACCAAAAGAACAGATCTGCTTCTTATATTTCAAGGGGTAGGTTACTGGATTGCCATGTACACAAATCCTGAACAAATCAACTTTGACAATCTGTAGACAAGCACAATGGTTTGGTAAAGGATGCAATGATCTTTCTCCTTCAGTACAATCTTTCCTTGAGCCCCCTGTGTACTCGGGTTGTCTAATAACACAGAGTCAGGTTTCTGGTATTCTATTCATTTGTTCAGCAGACATGTCCTAATTCCCTTCAACAGACCAGGCACCATGCTCAGCCCTGAGAAATCTCAGGAGAATGAAATAAAGGTCGCCCTAGCCCTCAAGAGCTTCTGCTGTCATGGGAAAAGAGAAGCCAAGACCAGGGAGCAGGTGCATAAGGTCATTTCAGATTGTGATGAGGTTGCAAAAGAAATGAACAGAGTGTGGGGATCTTACAGAGAGTAAAGACGAGTTGTAGCACTGCAGACATATCAATAAACAGGAAGCTATTACAGAGACGAACAGCAGATGGGGGGGTATTACAGAGTCATGATAAAGCGGGTATCACAGAGGGTATTGATAAGTGAGGGAGTGTGTTTCAGAGAGTAATGCGGGGGTCTAATTGTTTTATAAAATTGAGGAAGGCCTCTCTGAAAAGGTGACATCGGAAATGAGACTTTCAGATATGCATGTGTTGAAACAACACACTGTACCCCACAAATATGTACAAGTGAATGTTAAAATCAAATTAAATTAAAAAAACAAAAACAAAAAAAGGAATGAGACCTTCAGGGTGAGAAAGAGCCAATCCACAAAGGGTCTTCCGACACAGGGATGCAGAGATCCTGAGGTGGGAAGGAGCTTGGGGTTAAGAAATGGGCGGGAGACCAGCGGGGAAGGAGGGTCGTGAGTGAAGGGGCAGAATTAAGGTGGGGATTTTAACAGGGACTCAGATCTTGAAGGGTACAAGTGGTCATGGTAAGGAGTTTATTTTATTCTGCATTCGTTGTGACAAAACCAACATTTTCAGCAGGGGGTCTACATTTTTTAAAGATGCATGTTGCTACTCTCTGGAGACTAAATTGGGAGGAAAAGAGAATAGAGGAGGCAAAACCAGTTACAAGGTGACCAGTTACAAGGGTATTCCTGGGGCCAGACTGGGTGGGTTGACTAGGGCAGTAGCAGTAGAAATGGAATAAATAGATGGATTAAAGTCATATTTTCATTCTCACCCATGAAAAATCACCAAAAAATAATAATGGTGATAAATATTTTCCTAGCCCCATAGTTTACCTAACAAAAGCACTCATTCTAAGTGGATTAAGCTCTGTCCCCACAGTGACAAAACAACCACGCAACTCATTCAATTCAATGAAGAAGGAAAACCTATTAGTCTAGAGAAGATAATTAGATTGGCCAAATGTCTTCCCAACAGGTTGTTTGGGTTGTTGAGCTTAAGCATAAAGGTCATGTACACATTTGACC